CCCGCAGGCCCGGTGCAGAGGGGGCGGGCGGCGGGGCGGGGCGGGGCGTGGCTGCGCGGGGCACCCCGGGAGCCGGCGTCGGCCCGCAGGCCCGGTGCAGAGGGGGCGGGCGGCGGGGCGGGGCACCCCGGGAGCCGGCGTCCGCCCGCGGGCCTGGTGCAGAGTTAGTTAGGGCCTCGGCCGGCGTCCACCCCAGCCCCGCCCAGCCTCTGGGGCCCCGGGCCCGCTGCGTCCCCAGCAGAGGCGGCGCCGCCTTCCCGGTCAGTAGCGGAGCCGCGCAGCTCCGCAGCCCTGCCCGACCTCCCCCCGGAGTTCCCATTCTGCTTCAGCTCCAGTCCCCGCCACACTCCCCTTTTCTCTTCCAAAGGCCCGGTTCCCAATAAAAATTCCGGAAACGGGGATTTCAGTTCCAGTTCCGCTTTCTTTTTATTTAAATAACCGAAGCAACAGTCTTGGCACAGCAGAGAGAAGCTGGGTGGGGTTTGTAAGAGATGGTAGTAGTGTGGCCTAACTGGGGGGTGGCGGGGGAAGCGAGCCTGGGTCACAGTGGGCTCCCCGCACCCCTAAGTCAGGGTCAGCAGTCATGGCTGCAGGACTGGGGGCACTAGAGAGGAGACCCCAAGTAGTGATGTCTCACCGAGTCCGAGACGTCAGGGACGGGGGCTAAGTGAGCTCCCCGCGGCGGCAGGGCCGAGGCATCCCCGTCAGGGGTCACGGGGCTCGGAAGGCATTGTCGGCAGCCCCAGCGGCTGCGTTGGCGGCGGCGGTTCGCACGGCGGGGTTGGAGAAGACCCCAGCAGCAAATTCTTGCTGGGCCTTCTGAAAGCTGGCCCCGGTGCGGCGGTACAGAGAGTGGATCTGCAAGTAAATGGCAGAGATTATGAGCGGGCGCTGGCCGCCGTGACCCCACCCCAACCCCATCACGCACTCACTGCGGCTCGGGCTTTTCCTTCGTGGCTCCCCACCCCCCCCCACCCCAGAGGTCCAGGAGCTGAGCGCCTGCCCAGCGGCGCGGCCCTCCCTGGTTCCTCCGGAACGACCCAGCCAGGCCCCCGGGGGCCATGACGTCACTCTTCTGGCCCCGCCTCCCGCACAGCCCCTCACCCGCTTGAGCATCACAATTCCCAGCACGGCGATGCCGGTGAAGAACAGGGCGACCAGCAGCATGAGCACAGCCACGGCCTTGTTGGCCTTCAGCACCACCAGAGCGGAGATCCAGCCACTGCCAGAGTGGACAGCACGCGGTAGTGAGGAAGGGCCGCTCTCCGCTGGTTAGCAAGCGGGCCCTATTCCCACCCAGCCCACCAGGGGTCGCGCCCGTCACTCTGGAAGCTTCCCAAGTACCACAATCCCAAACCATATCCGCTCTCATCAGTTTGATTCCAGCTTCCGAGCAATTAGCTCCTAGCTCTCCAGGCCCTCCCAAGACATCCTCAGCCCAAACAGACCTTTCTGTTGAGGAGTCTCCATCCCCTTTTCAGAAGTGCTCACGGGTGCCTTCTCCAGGAAGCCCTTCTCAGATTGACCACACGTACTTTTCCTCCCCAAAACCTGGGCCTGTCTAGAGTTCTGACTGGGCTCTCTCCATCCGGGAAGTAGGTCCTGTTTCTTTCATCAAACAAGCACCTTTCCTTCTTTTGAGCAACTCCTACCCCAGTACCTAGTGCTGACTTGGTCTGAAGGCACGAGGGAAGGGGGTGGGTGGGGGTGGCGGGTAAGCCTCACGGACCTGAACCCCCAACCTGGGATGCCAATGGCCTGGAGGACAAAGAGCACATCCTGGACGAAGAAAATGAAGAAGAAAATGAAGAAATTGAATGAACTGTCACTCCTGCGGGCAGGAAAAGTGGGGAGAGCGAGAGAAGAATTAGGGTAGAAGCAGCAGATGCGGGGCCCATCCCAAGTTCTCCACCACCCACACCCCTCAACTTACCGGAAAGCCTTATACATGGGGCGGTACCAGCACACAAAGGAGCAGGGAGTGAAAAGGAGGACCCAGAGAATAGAGAGTCCAAAGCCCGAGCCATTGCTGGTCTCCACACAGAAGCTGGCCAGGCAGGCAAGAAAGTTCAGGAGAAGAGCCAGCGTGCTGCCTAAGGGACGAAGAGACAGGAGACTGAGCGTGGACTGCAACGACAGCTCCTTCCCACCGAAGCCCACCACACAGCCCTCCCCAAAGACGGCAGAGTGCGGAAGGGGAGCTTCTGCCTTCACAAAATCCTCAACAGCGGAGACAGATCTCTACCACACGTGACCGCCTTTGCAAAGATGTTTAAAGGGGAAGGCGACAGGAACACGTGTTTTCTAGAGGTTGGAAGAACAAGTTGGAAATATTACGAGAGGAGTAACCCAGGAAAATTCCTGGAGAAACTAGCCTTAAACTCAAAAGCTGAGCAGAGCTGAAATGCTGAGCTCTAGGTGGCCAGGCTCCAGGGCAGGAAAGACGTAAGGTCACCACCTTTACTCTTCCTCCAAAAAAGGCTTCTCACTACTCACACATCCAGAGGTAGTACATGGTGGATACGGTCTTCTGAAATTCGTGGGGGATCTCCATGGAGATGTCCTGGAAAAAGCAGGGCTGGACTGGGCAAAAAGACGGGAGAGGGGGCCAGTTGTTCTGTCGAGCTGGAAGGCAGAGAGAGAGCAGGAGGACCCGAGACGTGAGGCGGAGACCAGCAAAGGAATCACCCCTCCCTTCCACCCCAAGTCCTCTCTCCCTCCGACTCGGGGCCCGAGGACACGAGGCAGAGTAGCAAAACCAGTTGATGGTGTTTACTATTATTTACAACTTCCAGGCACTAAGCCAAGCACTCTGTATAGAGGACCTTATTTAATTGCCACAAATCCTATGAAACAGGTACAAATACTACCTTTGTTTTATAAGTAAGGAAACTGAGACACTCAAGATTCAGTAACTTACCTAAGAGCTCACAGACAATAAATAATAGCACCCAAATTCAAACTCAGCAATGTGGCTCCATAGCCCACGCTCTTAAGTTCTTTTTGCTCCTTCAAAAGCGTCAAATGCCCCCCCACCCCAAGAACCCACTTACCAGCTGTGCCCCCCAGGGCAGCATGCTTCAGTTCCCGCTCCCTCCGGTCCAACTCCTCTGCCTTCCGGTTGAGCTCCTCCTGCTTCTTTAGCAGCTCGGCAGTGGCTGCTGCAGCTGAAGCCTGCCCGGTAGGCACAGAGGGAGACGTGAGTCCTGGGCCCACATCTGGCCCCCGCTCCCCCATCCCCACACCCTGTTTACCTGGGTGCTGTAGGAGCCATAGTTTTTGGGTTCTGTCGGGCTGAGCTTTCTGGAGGACTGCAAGGAGGGAGCCGAGGGTGGAGGCAATGGGGCAGGGGCAGGAGGCTCATAGGCTGGTGGGGGCTGTTGGTTTTGGAAAAGACTTTAGGGATCACCTAGTCCCTCCCAATGCAGGTATATAGAGTCTGCTTGAGTACCTTTAGATCCAGAACCCATTCCCCAGCCTCCGCCCTCCCCCCGGACCCAGAGAGTTGAAACTCTGTCAGAGAACTCTTTCCTAAGCTGTGGCAGCCCTCGTCACCCCCCACATCCCACCCCTTAGTCAGGACTCAAGGCACTCATCTACCGAACGCACCCCCTTCACTTTTTAAAGCTCTTAGCATTTTCTGTTCCATGGGACGCACAGGTCCGGCCCTCCTCATTCCTTGCCCTCTAAATGCATGCTTAAGCATAACTTGTTCTCTCCTCAACGCCTACCAGCCCCAATCTTTCTTTTCTTCAAAGAAGCCTCCCCAGACACAGCTCTGGCTCAAGCGTTGCCAGTCTCCAAGTCCTCCCAGGACTGACGCTTAGAGCTCAAACGGGATTGTTGGCCCTCGTGTCCCCAGAAGGGTTGGGCAGGCCAGGGCAGACTAGCCTCTCTCCGGGGGCTAAGATCCTTTGCATGCAGAAAAGTCCCCTGTATCCCGACAGAGTGAGCTTACAGGCACACCCTCCCCCTCCCTGCCATCCTGTGCTCCCCAGAATCTCACCTCCCGGGTCTCAAAAGGGTTGTAGACGTCAAGGGTGGCATACTGCGGGCTCGGTCGGTGCTGGATCACAGCTGGGTCCTGTGGGCAGAGCTGGGGCTCAGCTGGCACCTGGTGCCTCTGGGGAAACTCCCTGGAGCCTCTTCTGATGCCTGTGGCTCCAAGCACTGCACGTCGGAGGCCACGCTGCTGTCCCAACATCTGGCCCCAAGCCTTCACCCCACACTAGCACCAGCTCCTTATAGGGGCAGGGCCCGCCCCCCATGGTGCTCACTGGTCTGGAATCACCGTCACCCCCACGTGGCGGCCCTTCCCCGGAACAAATGTCAGGAATGGGAAGACAAGTTAGCCCGTCCAGACCCGCGAAGAGTCCACCAAGCTAACCAAAGAAGGCCCGCGCGTCACCTGAAAGGGGTTGTCAAGCTCGCCGGGCCCAGCGAAGGGGTTTCCGCCGTCTCCGCTCTGAGCCATGTTTGCAACTGCGACCTGGGCCGCCCCTGCCCTCCACGCCCCTGCGCGGCGGCGGCGGCGGCGGCGGCGGCGGCGGCGGCTCCCGGAGCTCCCTCCGCTCCTCCCGGTCAGCCCGCTCGGCTCTGCACGGATTGGCCGCGAAGGCCGGAAGGGTCCCGAAGATCCCTGCAGCGGCGGCGGGCTGCGCCTGCGCTTCGGCTACCGCCGAAGACGGAAACGCCCCCACGTGACGCAAGGCCCCGCCCACAGCTCCCGGCAGGCCCCGCGGCGGGGCCCCGGCCCGCTCCGTCGAGACGCACGGCGAGAGTCCTGCCTCCGGCGCCGGCCGCCTTCCTCCGCGGGCCTCGGCTAGCCCGGGCTCCCTCCCGGCGGCCACCGCAGCCGGACCTTCCCCCAGGCTCACCTCGCTGGATGGAACAGGTGCCTCGGTTCTAACCCGCAGGAAGCACCCCCCCCAACCCCCCCCGCGCCCGCCAGACAAACGGCGATCTGCGGACGGTGGGCTCCGGAGGACTCGGGAGGGTAAGATGGACTCCCTTCCTCCACAAACTCGGAAGGGCTGCCAGTCTCCCCATCCCTCCAGCCCAGCATCCCACACCTCAGACTTCAGGAGTGGGGTTCCGATGAAGCACGTCATTTTTATTTCACAAAGACTGTACAAAATTCCTTATAAAACATGGGAGAGGTGCCACCTGGTTACCTCCTCCTGCCCCCGGCCAACTCCACCGTGAGGGGGCAGGGGAGGACAGGAGGTGTGTGGGGTGGAACAGCGTTCTGTACAAGGCCGGGGAGGGGGCAACAGGTCCAAGTTCTTCCGTATTTACACTATTTCACATATTCACAGGTGTACAGGGAGCCAGGAGGAAGGGGCGGGCTCCGGCTCTGTTCTCTTATATAAAAAAGCACCAGTGTCCTGGACTGGACACCCACTGCTGGAGGAGATGCAGGGGGGCCCAGGGCCTGATCGTCACCGACTGATATCCCGACTGGAGTCCCACAACTTGGTGTTGGGTGGCTCAGCCCGAAGGCGGGCGAAGAAAGGATGCTGAAGGGCTTCACCCAAGGTCAGCCGCTTAGCAGGTTCATACTCTAGCATGCTTTCAATCAGATCGAAGAGCTGGTGGTGTTCCTCGGCCTCTGAGGTCAGATACCGCTGGTGATGGAGGGCAGGAAAAAGGTGAGGAGGCACAATGCCTTACAAGTCCTGCCTCTTCTTCAAGGCCCTAGCTTTCCATCTCGGAGGACCAAGGCTCTGCCATTACCCATACTATTACAAATACCACCTTACCAGGAGCACACCGTCACCAGTGTTTGTGGTATGACTGTTTGACTTACCTTCCCACTAGCACAGTTACTTCCTTCATACTCTTTGAAAGTTCTATGTGTATATCTTTGTCAATTTCATGAATCTTCTTTAGCTCCTCATTAAAATGTGAGCTCTTCAAAGGTAGTTTATTCTTTTCTGTCTGACTCAAGAATCCAGGACATTGCTTTGATCTCTGGTTGGCTCAAGAAAGACATGGCTGTCTAACCTCCTTCCCTCCACAAAACCACTCCCTCTTATCTCTCTTCTATTGACCAAAGATGTCTTCTTTCAGTTTTCCCCCTTCCTTCCTAACTCTGCTTGTGAAGTGCCTTCCAGGGGCAAAGCACCTTAGGAAGGAAATGACCTTTGGGTGGTAGGCACTATCTCACCCCTGCCTGGCTCACCCGCAGTGGTTTGCAGTTTTCTCGTACGTAGCGCCCAGCTGATGTGTTCTCATCCCAATCTAGGCGACCCCGATAAAAATATTTCTGCTTCCTAGAAAGGAAGGGGAGATTGAGGGGTCAGGAGGTTCCTTCTGTTGTGGGATACTTCCCTTATTCCCCCACGTGAGAGTAGCTGGGCGGCGGGGGTTCAAAGAAAAAAAGAGAATGATGTGAAATAGACCGGTCTTGTGGAGAAAAAGGAAAAGATTTAAGTCCCCCCCCACCCCCTCAAGGTTCACCTTGTCTTTCGGATCATCCGGGAAGGGATAGGACCCAAGATCCTTTCCATCATGGCTAGATGCTCTCTGTTGTCATGGGTCTGGGAAACAAAAACAGAACTGAGCATGGGACTGAGAACCGGCTGCTGGAGACCAGCTTCCAGGATGATAAGCAATGTGGAGTGAGCAGGCGGGTCCTCGGCAGACAAGGAAACCGGGTAGAATGCCGGGTGGCTATAGAAGGCACCCCACCCCTTACCTGGAACAGCGTGAAGCCAACATAGTACTCGAAGATGATACAGCCTATGCTCCACACGTCACAAGGCTGTGACCAGCCCAACTCTGGGGGGGGCAGGAGGGACAAGGTGTTATGATGCTTAGGGGGCCCTCCCCTCCCCACCACCCATGCTCACATACGTGGACAACCTTGTTCCCCCACTTGCCCCCGCTCACCGAGGATGACCTCTGGTGCCCGGTAATGGCGAGTGGACACGATGGTACTGTGGTGTTCATGGTCAAAGGTGGCACTGCCGAAGTCCACCACCCGCACCGCTGTGCTCTTTACACTGCGTTCATCTCGTTTCTAGGAGCAGAGCAGGAAGACGATGGACCCCAGCCACCCTGGACCAAGACTCTTACCACTATTCTCTAAAGTGCTTTCAGGTCTTAAAAAAAGCACCTTGACCTGCTTGTTCCCATAATGCACTGGAGAATCCGCTTTACAGCTTCCCCCGTATCCCGCAGATAATTTAGGAGTGGGCAAGGATTAAGGAATGATCATGGCATAGCATGCAAGTCCCTGTGCACCTGGACTTTTCCCAAGTGACTGGTATACAGCGTTTCCGAAAACAGGTCAAGAGAACTGAGCTTCCCTTACAGAGAAGAAAGTCCAAACCAAGCATCTTAGAAGCATTTACACTCTATTGGAAAGTTATCTGAGGTCCTCCTGCCAAGTTCTCTTCCAATTTAAGTCTTCTTCAACCTCTCCCCTTCAATCTACTCTGGTATTCTGGTTTACTCAGAGCCGGACTGGGAAAGAATATGGGAAAAAGCAAAAGGCAGGAAAGGGGCTACGAGAAGGGCAAAGTGGCACAGCTGCCTGTCCCTCTTACCTTCTCTAGATTGTAGGTGAGCTCATAGTCTGAATTCACAAACAGAATATTTTCAGGCTTGAGGTCCGTATGTGTCAGCTTGTTATCATGGAGGACTGCAGGGGAGAAGGCCAAGTCAAGGTTGGTTCAGGTGGCCAGGGCTAACTGGCACCAGTGACCCCAAGTCTGGTCACCTGGCTCAAAGCTGGTGAGGAGGCAGGTCCAGAATCACTAGGCTGCTCTCTGTTCTACATCCAAATGAAATGCCTGGTCTAAGAAGCCCTACGCTTATCAATATAAGACACAAATGTAATTCTCAACTGGTGTATAAAGAGTCTGCCATGCATTTTATTTTTGTCTTTTGACGTATGTGCCTGACGTTCTGTGAATTCAACTCCGTAAACCTGCATAGTTAGGAAAACCGAAGAGGAAGCATGTACTCGTCCGGATCCCCCACCTGGCCCCCTTGGTTGCACTAGTCCCTGCTCCTACCTGCTTTGCTGGAAATGGAGAGCATCTCAGCTCAGACAAACATAAACCTCTAGCTCGGGAAGTCTTTTTGTCTCTTTGTGCTTGCAGCCTGACTTAACACTTTCCCAAGGAAGGGAAATGAAAAAAAAAAAAAGAGGCAATTCAATGCTTTGATTTCAGAAGCTTTCTCTTGCAGCTCCTGTTAAGATTGCATGTGGAATAAGACTCATCAGGGACGCTGAGGACATGGGTCAAGGAGTCAAGTGAGGGAGCTGTCAACGTGACAGTAAGAGAACTGCAGATAATCAAGTTGACAAATGAGGGGCTCTGCCAGTGTAAACGGACACAAAAGAGGTCCTACAGAGGGAGGGGCTGCCCCAAGTCCACCTCGGCCCACCGCACTCACACTTGACGGCCTGGCACAGCTGGAAGGCCATGTGGCGCACTTGGTGGATGGGGTAGGGCAGGTAGTTGTTGTCTTTGAGGAAATCGAAGGTGCTAAGACCCAGAAGCTCGAAAGAGATGCACATGTGGCCATGGTAGTCAAACCAGTCAAACATCTGCACACAGAGGCTAGAAGAGAGATGGGGGAGGGGGAGGTCTGATGAGCTCCCATCTGCCCACCACCCCTCCAACAAGGAGGAACCGCAAAGCTGTTGATTCCACAGGCTTGTGTGAAAACACGCCAGCTAGCATCACCAACAAAACTCAGTTCAGCGACAGAATGGCCTTTCTGGCTGACCCAAGAAGAGAGATACTACCTGCCAAGCTTCGAACCGTTTTCCTGCACCATTTTAAATAGTTAAGAGAATTCTACTAGCTGAAGAGTGGGTTGCCAGGCTCCAGTACGGACCCTGAATTGTCAGACTGTCACTCCTAAACCCTGACCCCAGCTCCCACTCCTGAAATTCACTGACCACCGGCCACCAGTGGGCCATGATCATACCGACTGTCTTCTTGTGTCTTTGTTTAATGTCCCTATTCTACATTTACCTTATAAAAGGTCCTTGGACAGAAATACTACATATAAATGTCTGGGGCCTCATCAGTACAGAAAGCTCAAATGATTTTTTGATGAAAATGCTAATTCTCAGTCTCAGGGCCATTTCCAGGGCCCAGCTCTCCAGAGGCCACCCTGGGCTGGGGCCAAACTGCAGAGCAATCTCAACTGCCCTGGAAACAAAGGGAATGGATTACAGCACATCAGACCCTCCCTTCCTGCCCCTACCGTTCTGCTAGTCTAAGATGATGAACAAAAAATGAATGGATGAGAAGGTCTAGGACTCCCCTGCCTGCCTAACCGAGGCCTGGAAGGTGTTCCTGTATAGGAGTGGAGCCTCTCACACTCCCCACATACTCCTTTGCTTGCTTACTTCTTGTTGTCAGGGTCCTTCTCATTGATTTTCTCCAGGACATTGATTTCAAGTCGGGCTGCTTCCTTGTACTTTTCCACATTCTTAATGATCTTCAGGGCAACTCGAGCCCCACCCCTGTAGGATGGCAGACGATGTTTCTGCTGGGTCGTCAAAACCATCTCAGATTGAATGGGGCTGTCTGGGGATTAAGAAATCCTACCTTTGGCTAATCGGCAAAAAAGCCCCAGATAACCCTCACTACCTCTATATACTAGCAGGTATGGCACAGGGAGGGAGGGGGCTACAGTTACCTTCGATGGTCGACACATTGTACAACTCGGCCAAAGGTGCCCTCTCCCAAAGTGCTTACGATTTCATCTGAAATGAAAAAGAGCAGGGTCGGGGAGAGGGAGGGAGAGAAGGTGGGGAATGAGCTGAGTAGGAAGAAAAAGGGGTACAGCAACCTGGGGTGAGGAGATGAAGGAAGGGGGAACAGATACAGATGGTCACAGGGGAAGAACACCCCTGCGTGATTCCCACCACCTTTAACCCAGGGGCCATGAGAGCTGGGAGTGGACAGCAGAGGTCAATTCTCAACAGCAACTCAAACCACCCAGATAAACAACGCCACTGAGGAAAGGCAAGAGGCTGTGACTTGGGTTGGCTCGGGACGTTGGGATGGCTATGGGACCATTACAGGCTATAGGATTGTTACGATTTGGCTTGTACATCGCTCTTGTAGCCAGTCCCCGACGTGGTAGATGAGGTGGCCCTCAGCGTCGTCCTCTACACTCTTGGCTCTCCGGCTGCTGTGCTGCTGGCGGGGGGCGGGGGGGGTCGGAGCGAGCCAGGTGTCGGAGCGGGGGCCGGAGGGAGGCGGGGTGGGTGGTGGAGGGGTCACCGGTCACAGGCGCCCAGCCAGGGGGGACAGACGATGATGGGGGACAGTGGAAGGGAACACGTCAGATGCAGTAAGGCGGATCGGGGTGAGAAGAGAGAGCGGCGCATCATCCCAAGTCCCCAAACCCAAAACGGGAACAGGGAGAGGAACGGGCAGAGCAGAGAAGTGGTGTCGCTGCCAATGTCACCCGCAACCCCATGCTCCACACAATGCCCTTCCAGACAGGCACAGATCTCCCTTTGCCCCCCCCACCCGAGCCCACCTGCTGAGGGGGCCGTGGAGCCCAGAGCTTGTAGGAAAAAGGCTATTCACAAGCAAGGTCTCCACTAGAGAGTGGAAGCCTCTGGGACACGGGAGCTGCTCCCGACACGGTCAGCCCAGCATGCCAAGGAGGGCGCTGCAGCTCACAACCACACTGTGCCCATCCGGCTCTGGAGCAGACCCCAGGGCCCTCCGGGAGCCGGAGAGCTTCCGAGGGAGCGGACAGACTCCATGCCCATGGCAGTGTTCACGCCCCAACGCTCCACTGAGAACGAGGATGCTTCGCACTTACCAGGCTCCCAGAGGGCTGAAGAGCGGGGAGAGGAAGGGCCCGGTGGCGGCACTCACCGAAGACGAGCGGCTGAACGTCCGGCTGCGCCGCCTCCGCCGCCTGGGCTTC